GAAGCAAAAAATTTTTTTTTAATGGCTCCTTAATATCGATTGCCCACTGAATGATGTTGAGTAATATATAGATTTAATTTTATAGTTTAAATTAAGAAGTCTATCTAAATTATTCTTAAATGAATACTATTTTAATTATTAGATTAGATTAATACTTATAAATTATATTTTCACTATGTCAGCTTGCAATCAAATTCTGTGTTAAAAATAGAATATTAATATCACTCACTAAGTATTAATTTAGCATTAACAGTTGAAGCTTTATTGACTTTTATTATTTAAATTATTATATAACCCAAATTAAATAAATATAAATTAAAAATTAATAAATTTAATATTGTAATTAGCCGAGTTCAAAATCACTAATCAACTATATTATTGATATTAAAATTTAATTACCATGCCTCTTTTTAAAATTATTTTCAAGCTCCAAATCCAAATAAGTATAAGAGATTTATTTATATAAAAAGTAAATAAACATATAGTTTATAATCCTCTATTAGATATAATTTGTTATAAAAGATTAAGTTAAATACCATTTTTACAGACGTATTTGACAGTTATATGATATATTACAGTTAATATTTTAATAAATTTTACTAATAAAGGCTTTTAATAATAAATATAAGTAATAAATTGCCTTTAAATATTTAACGCCATCTATTTATTTAGAAATATTTTAAAAAATAAATATCTTATTATTTATCCCAGAATGGATGTAATAAATTAGATAACTTTTCTTCTCTTTTTTACGTGTTTTTAGGAAAGCTATTTTTTTCTTATTTGAAAAACAGTTTTTAGTTAAATTTTTATTAATAGTATATTTTTGATATTATTACAAACTACTACTATTTTAAGATATAATATACTAACTAGAGGTGGTAGGACAAAAATATATAAAATCTTAATTAATTTCTTTTATCATATCATATCACTGGTTCTTATTTTATAGTTACAAAATGTTTCATTTCTAATATGGCATCCCTGCTTTGTAAATAACTTAAGGCTTCAGTAGTACATTTGCATAATTTCTTATAAAAATTTTTAGTGTTTTTGTTTTATCAATTTATCTAGCATAATAAATTCTGATATAAGTTAATATAGTGAGTGTCATGGCTATGACTGCAAATTAACAAGCATCTATTATTTGTGTGGCTATGTGATTTATGATTATTATTGTTGTAATTGTGGTAATATTCAAATTTACTAGATTAAGAAAAACGAAAGATAAGCAAATTACTTTTAAACAAAATTACGTAGCTGAGAGATATTCAAATCTACTCAAGAAAAAGAAATAAATCTAGATGCAAATTGAGACTATGTAAATGTTGATTAAAGAAAAAGGATATATAATGGAGAAATTATGATGCGAAAAATGATTATTTTTTGTATAACTTAGATTTTAATTTTTACTTTTTAATTTTTTACTTTTATTTTTCTTATATTAATTTTAATTTTCTTTATTTTGATTATGTTTTCCTTTGTATTTGATTATAGTTATTTATTGAATAAAAATTTAGTAGCAGATTTGAGTATTTAATCAGATTTTTATTTTTTTAGGTTCCAACTTTTCTCAATATGACAACTCTCAATTGTGACAATTGTTACAGCTGCTGAGAGCATATGATTGCATATTTATAAGCAATAATGGTCAACTGTGTAGTTTTTTATATATCATTAAAAATGGAAGATAATTTTTTAGAAATTTAATATCTCACAATTTTTTTCTCAATTACTTATCTAGCTTTCATCATGTCATTTAAGAGGAAGCTCTAACCACCATATAATTTTATGATTTGGATTTGTCGTTTATATTCTCTTCTCCAAGAAATGTTGATTTGGTTAGGCCTATAAATTTTTCCTTATTAGTCCATTCTATAAAACATTGTCCAAAAATGGTAACAGAGTGTTATATTAGTTTCTTGACCTTTTGGCAATATAAGTTGCTAATTTTATAATATGTAGTTTTTAAAAACCAGAGGCATATGTATGAATTAATTAACCTTTTTTATCACTTGTAATTCTTTAGACGCAAAATTTATATCAGCCATCGAAAATATTTTATACTGTAATAAATAGATTTTATATTAAAAAATAATTTTTTTAGAAATGTATTATATTGTTATTTATATGCTAGTTTATTTTGTATGCATAATATAAAAAATAACAAAATATGAAATAGAATAATTATTCAGAGTTAGCAAATTTTTAAAAAGTATAATATATTAATATAAACCCGGCCGAAGGCTCGCCGCAAATGGTGGGAATGGGGGCAAAGCCCCCATAAAAATATTTTTAGTTGAGTCCCTGAGATTGTAAAGGCTAGCAACGACCCTGGTATTCGGTTTCAAAATCAATAATAACGATAGTTATTTTAAAATTAAAATAAATTAGTGGTTAAATTATGGTCAACCATTGATAGACACAGTATTAAATGGGATTAATAAAAGGTATAAACCTATCACTATCAAATTAATTACAGATATTTTATTTTTTAAAGATTTGAACATATATATATATATATATATGAAGATCAGTATGTTCTTTCTACAATTATACATCCAGTATTCAAGCTTTAAAGGCCATGGATAAGATTTCCACATAATGAACCTATAAAAAATTACTTATACCGTTAACGAAAAGATGCATTGAAAACCCTAGTGATAATGCAAGAACCAGAGACCTGCAGAGATACCATTTGCACAGCCCGGCTCGGCTCGGCCCGGATTTTTTTTTTCAAAATTATTTTCAGCTCGGCCCGAATTTTTAAAAATATATTATATTTATTTTTGATTTTTATAGTTAATAATGGCGATTTCAAAAATTTGGTTTTGAAATATATGGCCAGGCCAGGGTATATTTTAAAAAATTAAAATACGACCCGGCACTAAAATTTTAAAAATCCGGGCCGAGCCGAAAAAAAATTTTGAAAAAAAATTCGGGCCAGGCCGTGCAAATGGTATATCTACAGGTCCCTGGTTCTTGCATTATCATTTCTAGGGTTTTCATTGCATTTTTTTGTTAACGTTATAAGTTTGTTCATTCGAAGTCTTATCCATGGCCTTTGAAGCTTGAACACTGGATGTATAATTGTAGAAAGAACATACTGATCTTCATATATATATATATGTTTAAATCTTTAAAAAAAAAATAACTATAATTAATTTGATAGTGATAGGTTTATACCTTTTATTAATACCATTTAATACTGTGTCTATCAATGGTTGACCATAATTTAGGCCACTAATTTATTTTAATTTTGAAACTTAATACTTTTTGTGCAGATTATACATTTGGTAAGTATTGAATTAGTTCCTTCAATATAGGATGATACTATAAAATATTTATCATATTTGGGCCATGGTAATGTTAATTCATCTGATCTTAAATTTTCAGAATCAGATGTGATGATGAATTAATAACCATCCTTATGCTAATCTATTAAAATTAAATATAAACAATAAATTTAATAAACTATAATGGCATGTTAAAAAAATTGAAATGTGAGAAAGGAAAAACTGCTGATTAAAAAATATAAGACTTTGTTCTTAAAAAATTGGAATTAATATTAAATTTTTCAAATAAATAAAAATAAAAAGTGTTTTTAAAATTAAACGAACGGTAAATTGGAACGCTTTAGTCAAAAAAAAGGGCCTTCATGTTTAAAGTTCGTCAGTCTCTGGCAAGAACTGTTAATTTCGAGATATCCTTTTTTTGGACGAGGAAGCAGAGGATGGATTGGAGGAGGATAACTTATCTCAATTTGAAGTAAAAGGACAAAACAATAAATATTAATAAATTCCCTGTGTTAAAAAAGTTGTTTATTAAGTATAATACCGCAATCATCTTATCTGCCACTCTGAGTGCGTTTTTAATATAGCTAATGCCGTATTAACTGCCAAGCGTTCCTCTCTATCAGATAAAAATTTTGAAAACAATTGTTATTTAAAATTAATAAGATAAATTTTTTATAAAAAAATATTTTTTATTGGCTCTTTTATATTGTATTTATAATTATATTATCAAACTATATTATGGCTAGTATATTATGTTAAAAAAATATAAGACATTAATTTATATTAAATTAAAAAATAAAATAAAATTTATCATAAAAATTTGTATTTTTAAAAGAAGCGAACGCGTTCGATTTTTTAGAAATGTTTGCAGCACTAATTTTACTATTATCTACAAAATAAAATTGATATTGATTTAAAAAACATATATTTGAATTTTACCATATTTGGGTCAAATATCGGTCAGTTGGCCGAATAGTATTTGACAAGTCAAATACACAACCCTACTTTAAACTGCTAGGTCTCTTTTCTCTGCCTTACTAAATGTCAAATACACAACCCTACTTTAAACTTCTAGATCTCTTTTCTCTGGCTCATTCTAAATTCTCTTTTGCCTGTTTGATTAAGTCTTTAATACTTTTTTCATTCTTGCAAATAATTTCCGATTTTTAATTTTCCTCAATTATTTCAAAAAAAATAATGTGGAAATAAACCTCTAAAAACTATTACGACGTAGAGAAGACATGATATAGCTAGGACATGACGAAGCTAAGGCATAGGGTAGCGATGACATGTTGTTTTGTTAAGATGACTTAGTTCAAACATCACGGAACATGATATTTAATAGATACCACATATCTTGGAAAAGCGATGAAAAATTAAAAAAATAAAATAAAATGAAGAAATGAAATCTTAAGCAAAAATTTCCAACAAAACTTATCATAGACAAGGGACAAGACCGTGCCTGTTCAATGAAAAAATGACTACGCCATCCAGATCCGCCACTCCTATCTATAAAATATTTTTCCTTTGTACATCATCTAATATTTTTATAAAAACATAAACCAATGTTCGAGAAATTATTTTTTAAATTTCATAATTACCTTTGTTTTATGTGCATTCTTTATTATAAGACATTTTACGGTCATTACTAAGTAGCTGTCAATTAACAATATACATAACATAACAGCTGTTACATTACTTTTTTTTAATGAAATATTCTACATATTTATTAACAAACTAAAAAATCCAAATGCTCTATTTAGAGGATTATATTGAGCTTATCGAACATTTACCCGATGAACTAAGAGACAGATTAACCGAAATGCGGGAAATGGACTTGCAGGTATATATAATAGATAATTTTAAATTAATTCGCTTTACATATACGTTTCTTACCCCAGAATAAATTGATATTAATATACCAATGAATTATATTTCTTAATAATACTAAGATTTTTATTTATCACATTAGGTCATTGATATCTTATAATAAACATTATTGCATGCTTCTGATTGTAAAAATTAAATAGAATTATTGATATTATGAGTAAAATGTTTTTTAAATTAACTAATATTTAGAAAATTGGGTATTAGAAAAAAATATTAAATGATTTTTTCATCAAGGTTCAAAACAGTATGGACTCTCTTGATCACAAAGTGGAAAACTTTTTTTCCCATGCTAAAAGAATGAAATCTGAGGATAGGGAAAAAGATTATGACAAAATGCAAGGTGAATTCAAGAAAGTCTATGAAGAGGCTGATGAAAAGTCTCAGTTGTCAGAGAAAATATACCAACTCTTCTCTAAACACTTAAAAAAATTGGACCAAGAGCTTAACAAATTTAAACTAGAACTTGAAGCTGATAACTCAGGTTACTTCAAAAATTATTAACATTATTTGGTGTCTAGGGCCAGCCTCTTATAATAAAATTTGACAGATAGGGCATACTTTTGAACTTATTTCATGCTAAATAACAAAATAATGAGATTATAAACTGATCTTTTTCATTAAACATTTGAATGAATGTCATTTACGTTCTAGTTAAAATAAAAAAATTTTTCTACTTATGTAATAAAGTATCCAATTTTTTTTTTTTGGGAGGGGGGGTTGTATAACTAACAAAAAAATTCCTAAAATGCCCAAAAAAAATTTAGTGTTTGTATAAATCAGGGTTGTGCATTTGACCGGTCAAATACGTTTCGGTCAATTGACCGATATTTGACAGGTCAAATATGGTCAAATGGGGTCAAATTCAAATATATGTTTTTTTAAGTTAATATTAACTTTATTTTGAATATAATAGTAAAATGAATCTATAATATTAATTTTTTAAATTCATTGTCATTCAATAACTAACATGTAGCTCTCTGTAGCAGAGTTTTGTTCTGATTCATATTCAATATTATCATTTTCTTTAATATTTTTTAATCAATTTTCCTGATGTCTTAGATCTTCAATCGATTTCCATTTTCATAAGAATATTAACGCAAATCGACCTATTTCTTTCTAAAGGAGAAGTAGAACTAGGAATTGTTAGTCTCTTAATGGGCAGGGTGGACAAAGTTTAATCTATTAACTAGGTCGGAATTGATTGTTTCTGGTTACTTTCCACATAATTTGCTATATTAAACATGCTGTTTTTGCTTCTGAAATTAATTATATCACTTAAAATATTTTGGTCATCACTACCTTGTAAAATAGCTAATTCTTGAATTATATCACATACTTGTGAGTTTTCCTCTTGATATTGTGGACACAAAAAATAAGCAAACATTGTGATCACATGTATTTACATCGTTTTTCCATTTTTTAAACATATTTTTAATTTATTTTTCATTTAAATTTTTTAGAGTATTTGACCGTATTTGACAGGTCAAATACTTCTAGGGTCAATTGACCAGTCAATTGACTGAATTTGACTGGTCAATTGACCGACTTGCCAACCCTGATTTAAATATACACAATGCATGTAAAAAATATTATTATTTTATGAATGATATAATATCACTAATTTTCATGAAATATTTAAAACAATCATTTTTAGATGTAAAACATAAACACAATTTAGTACAAATCACTTCAGTAACCAAATTTACCTCCAATATTTTTGCATTGTGCCTTTGTACTATACTTAGATCAATGTGTATTAAATCATGTCTTATTGCATTCTGCAAAATGAGACATGTCAGCCTCTTGCGACATTTTTCTCTATATTTGGCATCAATTGACACTCTTACCTCTGCTATCAACGTTTTAAATGATAATAAAGGCATTGGTTACTTTATTGGAAATTTTAGAGATACACAATCTCATCTATACAATAAATACTGTACGGTGAAACCATTTGCATGATCTAATATGTATATGATATAAGGGTCATTCCATGTCAAATCGATCAAAAAAGGCATATTTTGGGCTGACCCCATTTAAAATTATTCAAAATTTTTGGAATTATTTAGATAGGTAAAAAAAATGAGAAAGCCGATTATTTTAACTTGCTAACACACCTGGTTTCCGAGATATAGGGGCTCATAGGTGCAAAATAGGCCACTTTGAAATCTGTGAAATTTTTAGAATGCTTAGACCTCAAAACTATTTATAGTAATATAATATATATTGTAGTTTAAAAAAATCTCTAAAGGGCTATCAAAAAACAATAAAAATTGGCACTAATTTGAGCCTTTAACTTCCAGTTTACCTGTATTTTTAAGTAAAAAAAGGAGTTTGTTTTCGAATTTTTTTTTGCTTTTTATTTAGACATCTTTTATAAATATATATAGGATGTCAAAACCTTGGCGACGCTATCGACTTTTCCTATACATTTTTACCAAAAATTAAAAAAATAGATGGCGTTAATGGTTGAAAATTATTATTGTTGTGTTTAAAGAAAAGGGAATATAAACCGTTTTTCTTTCGCAATCTCCCCCACGTTTTTTTATCAGTTATCTTTTTTGTTTTTGTATATCATTTTTCTTTACATTCTTTTTTTTTACGCGACATTAAAATTTATAAAACCTTGTTATGACTTTTTTTTCTTGACCAAAAACCACTTGAAACTGGTCCAAGCCAGATTTAAGAACGGCGAATAAGTATGAAATCTTTTATAATAGTACTATACTGTGAAAATAGTTATTTCTTTTATGGCAAGAACAATAGTTGTTGTCAACCCACTTTTGGTATATATATATAGGTAAAAATTATGTAATCGGCATCATTTTTTTTATGTAAACTACGACGAAAAATTTGTTTTACTTACTGAAATTCAATAAATCATTTGCGACTAGATTTTACTTACCCCATATACCATCGACCGTGACAACTCGATTAGATAAATTTAAATCCTCACTAATACTGTGGTGTGGCGAATGCCGCTCCTTATATATTTTTTTAATTTAATTATGGACTTAAATCCGTTCTAATCCTGCGGTGTGGCGTATACCATTTCTTATTTATCAATTAATTTAGGACTTAAATCTAATCCTGTGGTACGGCGAATGCCGTTCCTTATGATGTAATTTTGGACTCAACGCTCTAATCCAGCGGTCGGCGAACGTCGTTCGTTATTTTTCAATTTAACTTAAGTTGTAAATCCGGACTATTACTGCTGTGCGGAGCAAACGAGCAAACTGTTCCATATATTTTTTTGAGTTAACTAAAGTTTTAAATCCGCACTGATCCTGCGGTGCGGCAAATGCAGTTCCATTTCATTTTCACTTTTAATTAGGAAAATCCGAACTGAACTTCCGGGGCGTTGGTTGCCGTCACGGTTATGTAAACAACCCACTAAGGGGCTGCTGTCATCTTATAATGAATAACCGATGGTACTTACCCCTTTTCTTTTTTATAGTATTTAGTACTATGACCAAGCCTGCAAAATCTGGTCCCTCTATCACCCTCCGAAAATCCCGGACCATTGAACTCAACCGATTCCTCCCCCTCCCCGACGGTTGAACTGCCTACGGTCACTGCTCTAAATATTTCTATTATTCTTAAGGAAAATGAAAATATTAATATGTTATAAGAAATATGATAAAAATTTTCAGTTCTGCCCCCCCCCCCCAACATCTTTAAAAAGTTTTACATTTTTTTCTCTACTTTGCTACTATAGCGAATGACTTATAAGCTCGATCATGTATAACAGCTGCATTAAAAAAGAATATTTTATTAGGCATTATCGATTATATTTTACAAAATAAAATTTTTAAACGATCTCTCTGCATAATATTTTTAACTTGCCCGTTCAGATTAATTTTAAATAATTCAACCTGTCTGCAGCTTATTACTTTATCGTCTGTCTATTAATAACGTTCGGGATTTGGAGAGTGCAAAAACATTTATTCTTCTAGGTGCAGATCAATTAAAAAATTTTCCCATATCACAAATGGACGTACCAAATGTTAAAATATAAAATGTTGCAACCCATTTAATTTACAAAGACATGCTTATTATCGCAAGAATCTAAGAAAGATTCTACCCTGGATGACCCCCAAAAAATTACCAATCAAATTAAATATGTTAATATGCTCTTCATGCCGACAAAAATTAGAAAACATTCTTTACTTCAAATGACATGTAGATATTGATTTTCCCTCTCATATAATTAATTAAGAGGCTATTGATAACATTAATATATCCCTACAATTAAAAGGGGAATCTCCCATTAAAACAAAACGCTTATGTGAAAAGAAATTCCAAAGAAAAAGATATCTAGAGTAAAAAAAGTTTTAACGACTTAAATTATACCATTATCTTCAATAATAAAAAATTCGATGAAATTCTAGATACCATAAATATCAATTTCCCACAGCTGACGATTACAAATATAGATTATTAACATTATTACCATCAAATTGGACAGTAAGAAAAATTGTAAAAGAATTTAATATTTCATATCATATGGCGAATAAATCACAAGGTTTAATAATAGAAAAGGGGTTTTTTCAACACCGAATCCTAAACCCGGTAAGACAAGGCCGCCACCGTTGCTATTGTCAAAACCTTTTTTTTTAGCAATGATGAATATAGTAGATCGATGCCTGGGAAAAGGGATTTTGTTTCTATAATAAAAAATGGTGAAAAGATTCAAGTCCAAAAAAGATTTTAATTAATTTACGAGCGCTATATCTTAAATTTAAAGGTAATCATTCAAATATTAAAATTGGATTATCTAAATTTTCTGATCTTCGTCCCGATATAATTGGCAGCAATGGTACCCATTTAATATGTGTTTGCTCCATTCATCAAAACATAAAATTAATGCTGATGAGTTTGCCCAAAATTATTTTAAATGATGATTTAATTAAGATTGCATATAGGGATATATTACCAAAAATAATTTGTAATCCAGCATTACCAAAATGCTTTTTTAGTGATTGTGCTCAATGCCCTGGATCTTCTAATTTAAAGACCATGATAAGTGAAATATTATATACAAGTGATATTGAATATATTACCTACAAGCAAAAGGTAACTACAGATCGTAAAGATTTTTTAACTATCACTTCATCAACCCCAATTCTTTAGAAATAGTTTTCGAAAAGCTAAATATTTTTACTATTACACTAATCATAACAGGCAAACCATATTCATGAATTCTCTTAAAATTAATTTAAATGAAGGAGAATATCGTTCAGGCAGATTTTTCTGAAAATTATCCCTTTCTAGTTCAAGATGAAGTACAGGGATTTCATTGGAATAAATCTCAAGTTACCATTCATCTTCTTGTGATTTATTACAAGTCACTTAAATAATTTAAATCATTTAAGTTTCGTAATCAGGAATTCAAGTGAATCCAAACCTGGTGAAGAAAACCCGGGTTTTTGGAAAAAATTCTGAAGCCAAACCGAACCTGAATTCCGTTAAATTTTTCGA